TGCAAAACAAAACCTGGAGCCACCTTGCCAAATTCTTGGTGCAGGAAGCCTCGGGCTCTGTCTTGCTGGGCACCATCACTCGGTGAGTGGCCTCACCAGTCCCTCATCCAAGTGACATCCAAGCTCTGGGCCGTCACCTGGCCTGGGAAGGTGGTTTCTGCTGCCCAACCCCAGTTACGAGGGCCTCCCCATTCCTCTCCAAAGCGCGCCGTAACCGATCCCTTTGGGGACACGCGGCAGCAGGTGATGTCCTTTCCCAGAGGCCCTGCCACCCGCAGTGCCGACTGGGAGACAGCCCCTTGGCTCACGTGGCTTCGGAGCGGGCTCGCCCTGGGTGCTGGGATTCAGCACCGCGTTCTGCCCAGAGTAAGGCTGCAGGCTCCCTCATCAGCCTGAGCCGGACGGCTGGCTCGGCCCCATTTCTCCCCGGGGGTCAGTCACCAGCCCCCGAAGTCTTGCTTTCTGCACGCTCGTGGGATGCTGTGAGGCCAAGGAGGGAGTCTTTCGGGTGCTGTCCTAGTGTTGATGATGCAGGTTATTTCTGCTGCCATCTCGCAGCTGCTCCCAGAAGCCCAGCTTCTCACGGAGGGGTAGACGCTATAATATTGAGCGCCTCCCCTGCGGCTGCACAGTTGCACAAAGCTTAGAGCTCAGAGGTTAAGTAAGTATCTGATTCCTTCCTCCTACTCGGAGGGCTCCTGAGGGCAGAGCCCCAGGCTCGCTGCTAAGCGTTAGCTCCCTGGGGTTGTCCCGACACAGTACCTCAGTGGAGGCTCAAACAGTAGCGATTTAGTCCCTCCCTGCTCTGGAGGCCAGGAGTCCGAGATCAAGGCGTGCGCAGGGCTGGGTTCTCCGGAGGAATCCGCTCCATTCTCTTCCCCGCTTCTGGGGGTTTTCTGGAGACCGTGGCACCCTTGCTCGGTCGAGGTAGCACTCCGATCTCTGCCTGCGTCCTCACGTGGCGCCCTCCCGTTTGCGTGTCTGTCTCTGTGTCCAAATTCCCCCTTTTGTGAGGACACCAGTCATCATGGATTGGGGCCACCCTACTGTAGCATAATCTCCTCTTAACTAAATATATCTGCCAAAACCTATTTCCAAAACTTCAACACATGAATTTTGGAAGGGTGGGTGGGGACACAATTCAGCCCGTAACAATTCCTGCTACCACAGAGGCTCCGTGGGCACACGGGCGCCCCACGACCCAGGCTGGTGAAGGTAGGGGGTGCCTCGGGGTCTTGAGGACCCCACGATCGTGCAGACGGAGGGACAGGGGCCACGGGCGTCTGTGCGCAGCAAGGGGGCTCCAGGCCAGAGACACAGAGAGCGAGCCGGCAGGTGGATGTCGTCCTCCAGGGGGCGCGGTGCTCTCATCTCCCATCTGCGCTAACTTGCCACTTGTGAACTTCTCAAGTGTGCTCGAAGCATCGTTTATGTACCCTTCCACCCCATCCCAACTGTCGCTGCCATCTGGGCCTGGCGAGGGGCAGCCCTTCATGCATATCTACCGGGGGGAATGGGCGTGCGTGCGTTTCACGTGCGGCATACCCGGGGCTCTTGGAGATTCAGGGGCGATTCAGGACGCTCCAGCCCGCTGAACCAGGGGGCGTGGCACATGAGCCCCAGAAGCCGGAGCCCCCCACTCCATGTCTTCGGCGTGTGGTCAGCCCCTGGGCTGCAGAAAGCATGGATCGGACCCGGTGGCATCTCCGGGCTCTGCAGAGGGGACTGCTGGGCGTGTAGGTCCCCCTTACGCCTCGTTCCCCCTGCTTCACGCGATTGCCTGGTGGGCAGGCCCGGGGGCTCTGCCGGTGCCCGAGGTCCTGATTCCCTCGCTTTTGCAGAAGTGGAGGACTTATCCAGAACCCCTCCTAGCGAGTTGATTCCCGAATTTTCTCTGTTGTCTCCCTCCATCCCTGCCCTCCTCCCCTCCCCCCTGCAGAAAACGGCCTTTCCTTGCTGAGTTTCCAGCTGTGCAACTACAGCGTGACCCGAAACGTCCAGAAAGTGGAGGCCGTCCACACGTCGCACGTGACCTACGCTCCCTGTGGCGGGTGGATCCCGTGGAGGAGGTGCCCCAAGACGGTGTACAGAACTCGGTACCTGGCCGTGGACGTCCCCCAGCCCAGGAACGTGACCGACTGCTGTCGGGGTTATGAGCAGCTGGGCCTCTACTGCGTCCCGCGTGAGTCCGGGACGCCGGCGGGTGGGGGGAGGGGAGAGGGGCGGCTCCCTTGTCCTCTCCCTGGGACTCCTGATGACACTCAGGATGGTCGCTGTGCACACCGTTAGCCCTGAACCTACTAGGTTCTTCTGGAACAATCGTCCCCAAGCTGGGGCGTGCATCAGGATTGTCTGGATGGCTCGTCCACCCCCAGATCTTGGAACCTATGGGTCGGGGCGAAGTACAAGTTCCCAGGTGGTACCGATGCTCCCTGGGGACCCCGCTTTGAGAACTTCTGTTTGGGCGCAGGCCTGCTGCATGTCAAAGGCCCCTGGGCAGCTTTAGAAACGCTGATGGCTGGGTCGAGTCCTCAGAGATAGTTATAGAGTTGGTCTGGGACATCGCTGGGGCATTGGAATTTTTTTTTTTTTTAAAGCTCTCAATCAATTTGAACACGTAGCTGAGTTTGAGAACCAGCACTGCAAATCTCCTCTATATTGACGGCCAGTCTTTTCCTTTTAACTTTTTTCAATGTTTATTTATTTTTAAGAGGGAAAGAGAGAGACAGAGTGTGAGTGGGTGAGGGGCAGAGAGAGAGGGAGACATAGAATCGGAGGCAGGCTCCAGGCTTGGAACCATCAGCACGGAGCCTGATGTGGGGCTCGAACCCATGAACCATGAGATCATGACCTGAGCCGAAGTCGGACGCTTAACCGGCTGAGCCCCCCCAGGCGTCCCCCGCTTTTTAAAATTTTTTTAATCTTTATTTTTGAGAGAGAGCGAGCAATCTTTTCTTTTTAAAAGTTGCAGTGGAATGTTTCTTTAACTGAAATCCTAATCCGAGCCTCCATGTGTGAAAGAGACAGAAAGGTCCCCTCGGCCCCTCTCACCCCCCCGGGGCCCCCAAGTCCTCCTCCTTCCTCAGGGCTGTTGGGAAGATGCTTGGGGCAGTTACCAGGGTGCGCTGTGTGGCTGTGTCCCGCCACTGTCTGAGCCCTCCTGACACGGAGGGAACGTTCCAGAAGACCTCTTCCAGGGGAAAGGATGCAGGCGTGTGTGCATGGGTGGGTGGTGGTGGCTGTTACATTTGAGTCAATACCAGATCTAAATGAGTTTCTGAGCCTCATAAGGTCTCCCCGGCCCCACCCAGTCAGGGAGGGGAGGTAGGAAGGATGTGGCTCCAGTGAGTTTCGAGGGGCCACCCCAAGGCATGAGGTCTGCCGCCTCCAGCGGGCACCCAGCGGCAGTCTGGGGGTCTGGGAGGGGCACCCCACGTGACCCACCCCCAGGGCCCATGGCCAGGGTGGCAGCAGGCTGGGGCCTGGACGCTGCACCCAGGGGCACCGGCCCCCTCCCCACCCAGGGGCTGTAGGACATAGTTGGGGCAGCCCTTCCAGAAGGCTGCGTGGGCTTGGCTCCCTGAGTCATCGGAGCACGCCGTTCTCAGGTCGCCCGAAGCAACCTCATGGGCATGGCTGATGCTTGCCCACCATTACCACGCTGCCACCACCAATAAAAACCAGGTGGGGATGTATGACCCCAGGGCCCCCAGCCTGGTGCCACCTGGCTGCTCCCACTGGCGCCCTAAAAGTCCCCTGGTGTCCTTCCCAGGTGCTGGATCTGGGGAGTCCCTTCCCGTGCAGACACTGGCCCATTTTCCGCTTTCACTGTCTTCCGGGGCTACGTGCACGAAGGGAGCCCCGCGGGGAGCGCCTCTCTTCCTGGGGGTGGTGGGGGACCCAGTGTGGGTACCTTGGCACGGAGGCTCAGGACCTGGTTAGGTAGCGGGTGGTTGCAGCCCTGCTCTGACCATTTTCACCTGGGAAGGCCACACTCTTCCCACCTGCTCGCTGTTGTAAGATCACTCGACTAGTGAGGTCACCTGTCCGGGGGCCGGAGGAGCCCCGCCCCCCAGCCCCCGTCCTGCTGACTGGTGTTTTCTGTGCGGCTGCTCGCAGAGGGAGGGCTGGCGTCCCCTCCCCGCCACCTGCTGTCCATCTGTCTTGCCTTCGACAAGCCAGCCCCCAGGAAATGCCTCTCGTGGGACATCAACCCCACTTTTGGAGTCTCGGCGCCTTTAACTGGGAACTCACCAGGTGTGGACAGGGCCAGAACATTCCAGTTAGAGAGTCCCACGGGCAGGGCTCTCTGGGAAGCTGCAGGTAATGGCGCGGCTGTGGCGGGGGACACACGGGGAGCGGGACGAGGAGGATTCCCTGCCGGGTTGACCAGCAAACCCTGGGGCGGCGGGTGACAGATTACTCCAGACCCCTGAAGCAGAGAAAGGAGAGGGCGAGGGGGCCAAGCGCTCTAGGGGTGACGCCCCGAGCAAAGCTCTTCTCTGGTTTTTGCCGGGAATCTTACCAGTACGTTTCAAGGGGTGCAGGGAAAAGGGACGCGCAGTTTCAAAAGCAGGGACAAAGCATACTCCTAAGTGATCCAGGGCAACAGTGCGATCAGGGTAGTGATGTGCAGGCTGTGAGGGGAACGTGACGGGGGCGGTGTATACGTCATAGGAAGGGGGCTGTTTTACTGCTTTCGATTAAGCATTTACGGGGTGAGAAAACATGTTGACCCACAGGCTGCTTCCAGCCTTGACCTTTCAAAGGAGACCCGTTTTCCTGGTCTGCTTTGCTGCTTCTCAGCCAGCCAGCCGCCTCCCGGGCTACAAACATTCCTGCCTTAAATCTTAGCCCGGCCAGGCTCTATAGGCCTCCACAATTCCCCTGGAGGACTGGAGGCCCCTCAGAGGTGACTGAGTGCGGTTGGGGTCCCCCTGGGCCTTCGAGGCATCATTCCAGCAGCAGTGTAGAGAGGAGGCCGTCAGGAGCCAGTGAGTGTGTCCTTTGTGACAGGCCAGCCGGGCAGATTCCTGGTCACCAATGGCCAGGAGTATTGCCTTTATGCAGAAGGAGCCACAGACGGGGGAGGCAGGTGACTTGACCGAGGTGGCATGGACTTGGGCTTTGGGCTCCCCACCCCGCCGTTAGATTGGAGGAAGGGGCCGTGGTGGTTGTGGGGTCAATATGGCAGGTGCAGGTCGGGGGGGGGGGGCGGACGCTGAGCTCGGGCCTCTTCCCCAGGAAGGCCCCTGTGTGCTGCCAGGGCCTGGTGCCACCCCGCAGCTGGCTGTGCGAGCACCGTGACCTTCTCCACGCTTGCTCGGCTCCTTGGATCAAAGTTGGTCCGGAGGTGCCTGGTGACGGGCTGGTTCTTCAGAACAAGTCTCTCTAAGTGACCCGGGAGCCCCGCTGGTTATTTGCACAGAACAAGGCAGGGCCAGTGCCTGTGTTAGCCCGGGGGGCGTGGGGGGGAGGGCAGCCTGGGGACTTGGGGAGGACACGCAGGCAGAAGGTACTTCCCTCCGAGTGCGGGCTGACTTGTATCTTCGCAAAGGGCTGGGAGTCCTACCCCCAGGCCGCGGCGAAACCTCAGACCTGCCTGCTTCTGTTCTGGGTGGTGCTCCCACCCAGCACCCGACCGTCTAGAAAGGGAAGGCAGGTAGGGTACACGGGCGATGTTCCCTTCAGTCTACACGACTTTTCCCGTTATTTCTTTTAAGTCCAGCACCGGGGAGGCAACGGTAAGTCCCGCGTGATTTTACTTCAATGCAATTGTTAACACAATTACGACAGTGAACACACGAGCCGCGCAGAAAATCTGGAAACAGAAAAGAACAAAGAGAAATTAGCATTAGCCCACTGCCCACAAATGACCACCGTCAATATTCTCTTGGAGTCTTCATTCGGGGCAGACGTTCTAGAAAAGCATGGTCACCCTGGCCCGAGACTTTTCGTACTGTGCTCTTCCCGCTTAGCAATGTATCTGGAACATCTGTCCTGTCAATAAATATTATGCTGCAGCATGACTTAATGGCCACATGGCATTGCCTCATATGGATGGATGTATCAGCACTTACTAAGCAAGCCCCTGCCACTCCACGTCTCGTTGTTTCCAGCTCTTTATTATAAAGAACGCCGTGATGAGTATCATATGCTACAAACAGTGCTGTGGACCGATGCGTGACTCACTCATGATGAATTCCTGGGAGCGTCTCCACCGATGCTCGCCAACTGCAGAGACGGCCCCGGTTCCCGCAGGCTCACGGGAAAGCCCAGGACCCCAGGGGGCCGGGAGCCTTCCCAGGCTGACGACCAGGACCCCTTTGGGGAAGGAGGTCTCCGAGGAAGGAGGCCGGGCGGGACGCTTATTCCAGAGCCGATCGGATCCCGAGCCCTGGGGAGAGCTTCAGTGCCGCTGCCCAGACGGAAAGCTCCGGGCTGGCTCGTTGAACTGTAACTAACCCCGGGTTGCCAGGCACTGGACAGTCCTGTTTCATTGTTTGTGTTGAGTTAGTGGAAGGAGAAGCAGATTTTTGACTTTCCCCCAAGTTGGAATTGTTGAGTGTTCTCTTGGGCTCTCAGCAAGCCGTCCAGCTCTGAGGACGAGGGGTGGGGTGGGGGGCAGCGGCAGCCCATTTAAGATGGACTTCAACTTGAAATCACTTCTGTTGAGATCAGGCAGCCATTTTGGGGAGCCGGTTTTTCTTGGTGGCCCCTAGTTTCTTTCCATGTAAATAATAAACCTCTTAGTTTAGGGTAGCTGCAGATTTACAGAGAGGGTGGCAAAAGAGTAGACAGAACCCACACAGACGCCCCAGCTCCCCTGATGGTAGCGTCTTTCGTTACCATGGTGCATTTGTCCCAACGCGGGAACCGACACTGAGCATCGCTGTTAATTCAACGTCACGCTGTTTTTGGATTTTGCTTTTTTTTTTAAAAAATTTTTAACGTTTATTTATTTTTGAGAGAGGGAGAGACAGAGACAGGGCACAAGCGGGGGAGGGGCAGAGAGAGAGAGGGAGACACAGAGTCTGAAGCAGGTTCCAGACACAGAACCCGACGCGGGGCTCGAACCCACAAACCGTGAGATTGTAACCTGAGCCGAAGTCGGATGCTTAACTGACTGAGCCACCCAGGCGCCCTGGATTTTCCTTTATTTAAATTATTTTTATATATTTTTTTACATTATTTTTGAGAGACAGAGAGAGCACAGCAGAAGAGGAACAGAGAGAGAGGGAGACACAGAATCCGAAGCAGGCTCCGGGCTCCAAGCTGTCAGCCCAGAGCCCGGCGCGGGGCTCGAACTCTCGAGCTGCGAGATCATGACCTGAGCTGAAGTCGGACGCCCAACCGACTGAGCCACGCAGGCGCCCTGGATTTTGTTTTTTTAACCTGATGTCATCTTTCTGTCCCGGGAGCTCATCTTACATTTAATCTCCTGTCTCCTTAGCCTTGAGAGCATTAGTTTTTACGATGGGACAGAAAACAATGGACTTGAGGTCCTTGAACGGTGGCGCTACAGGGATGCTGTTATTCCCACCCCAGCGAGGACCTCAGGCTGTGCCACAGGCCCACCCTCCATGCCCCCAAAGCCAGACCCGGCGTGGCAGTGCCTCCAGGACTTTAGACATCAGAACAGCCACCCGGAGCCTGGGAAGCGGCAAGGGAGCCAGGGACAGCGTGGAAAGGAAAATGGTGTTGAGAGCGAACTTCGAGCCCTTGCTCAGCAGCGTGGGTCCGGCAGCAGGCGGCGGCCTAGCTCCGTGAGAAGAGCAAACACAGACTCTCCTCTGGGCAGTTTTGGCTTTCTCTTCCCCTCCTTGGCCGGCACAGCCGCCCCGGGTGATGGGCTCCCACGCAAGGAGGGGCCGCCACCTCCCTTCTGTCCGTGGAGCATCCTGCGGAGACCGCGGGGGAGTCCCGAGGGCTGTCCCTGGGACTGCAGCCCCTCCGGCTTCGCTTCCACGTGGGACCCCACGCGTCTCCCAGGGGCTAACCTTCCCCTTTGCAGAGCCTGGTTACCCGCTGGCCTTCTCTGCTCTCCCTGGAGCCCAGAGGGCCCAGAGCTGCACTTCCAAAGGCCCGGCGGGGTGCAGGGCCTTAGATGAATCCGGGCAGAGCCGGGTGGGCCTGTGTGACAGCAAGGTGGCTGGAGCCCTCATCCCCAGGGTGGGAGACAGGAAGGCTGTGATCACACGGGCCTCTCCTCGGACACCTGCACCGGGGTCGCACCTTCCTTGTGCCCCTCCCTGCCGCCCCCAGCCTCCTTGGTCCCCAGCTGCACCTCTGGTGTGCGGCCCCGTGAGCTGTGGCGGGTCCTGCCACAGGAGTGTCCCCAGCACAGCGCCTCCCTTGAGGGCAGCGCCCTGGCTCTCCACTGGGGTCAGGTTCTCCGCCCTGCTCTTGAGTTTTCTATCATCCTGAGCACCAGCACCTTGACTCCTGGTCAGTCCCCTCGAGCCCACAGATTCTCCGGGAGTTTCACCACGTCTCAGTCTTCAAAGGCCCAGCATGTCTCCTCTACTCCTGGGCCGAGTTTCCACAGGTCTATGTGCGTACTGGCCTCCGCCCCCTGGAATCCCAGTGTCCTGAAGGTGGGGACTTGGCCTCCGGCCCACTGCTGGATCCTGGGCACCTAGCACATGCCCGGCACATAGCAGTTGCTCAGTAAATGTTGAGTGAGTGAGTGCGTGCGTGAGCCGCTGGGACACAGAGCAGCAAGGGGGCCTCTAGGGGGGCGGTGCAGCCCCTGCACTTGGCCTAGAAAGGAGACCCCCAGGGTGCCAGTGGACAGTGTCCTCCTTCCGGGAAAGACGGTTAGACTATGTTAAAGTCAGAGCGAGCGGCCCTCGGTGGTGGCTCTGCAGGATGTGGTGAGGCGATGCCCAGTCCAGGACATGGCCCTCGAGTGGGTCACGCTGTGCATCTCCGGGAACCGCAGGTCGAATCCGGTGCCCGGGGTGCCCGGACGCCGTGCCCGCTGCCAACATCACTGATGGCTGATCACTTTCCCTCCAGCCCTGAATCGGTCCAGGGAGTTTGCCTCGAGACCCGGGGTCTGCCCCGCGGTGGGGCCAGAAGCACCCGCCTCGCCGTGCACGCTGGACACAGACTGCCCCGGGCTTCAGAAGTGCTGCGTCTCCCCCCGGGGCCACCACTGTGTGGCTCCCGCTCCCCGAGGTAGGGTCGAAGCTCTGGTCTGGGTGAGGTTGGAGCAGCGTGGGTTTCTAGCAGCCGCAGCTCCAGTCTTACAGGGAGCCCGCAGCCCTGTGCACGGGACACGTTCTGCTCCTCAGCAGTGTCTTTGTCCAAATCCGGCCGCTGAAGTCTCAGGCGGGGAGAGCTCACAGGCGCCCCGGGGAGGGGGATATTCCCGCAAGAGCAGTGACCCCGATCTCCCGAGTGTGCCCGAGGCAGCCCAGGGGCTCGGGACGGTACTCGCCGGCAGCTGGGCTGCGTCATGGTGCAGAGGCGTAAGGCTGGTGGCAGGTGGCTCCCAGGGACCCAGGGACCCAGGGTGGCAGGTGGCACCCCAGGGACCCAGGACGCTGTCGGAGCACTGGTTTCGCGGGTGTGTGGCCTGGCCCTCAGCACGCACCTGTCGGATCTGGAAAGCTCTGCTCTCGACCGTAGGCTGCCCCCAGGGGAACGGGCTGGTCAAGGTTCAGAACTAGGGAAACATATATAAATAATACGTACGTGTCATATGTAACGTATGTCATAGTATCAGTAGAATATGTACTGTCTTCGTGTGGTTATGTGGTAACAGGTATACATAGTATAAAATAGTATCAGTGTGTGTGGATTATGCTGTTACACTGCGTACATGAGCATAAATATTACACATACTACATACAGCATACCTAGCGCACGTTGTGTGTAATAATAATCTCCATAGTGCACGTAGGATTACGTATATTACAACGTAAGAGAAGTGAGCTCAGCAGGTGGGGAAAGCGTCCCACACTGTCCCTGGCAGCAGATTTCTTTCTCTGGGGCTCCGTTGGCCCCAGCCTGCCCCCAGGCCTGCGGCTCACCGGCGTGTGCCCTCACACAGCTCCAGAGAGGGACCCGGTGAACTTCTGGTACGACGTGACCGTCCTGGTGAAAATGGCCTTCAAGGAACTGGAGGAGGTGGACCCCAGGCTGCTGAATCACATGCGGCTTCTGTACTCCATGGTAGGTGGGGGCACAGAGAGCCCGGTCGGGGCTCCTTTCCAGGGCAGGCGGCCCGGGCTGACACAGGTGGAGACACTGGGTGAGAACCGAGGGTCGCGGAAGGGCCCGCCGGTGACCCCCGGAATGGCTGGCTCAGGACCGAATGTGAATTCTTAAGTTGTTTTTTTTTTGAACGTGTATTTATTTTTGAGAGAGACAAAGACACAGTGTGAGCGGGGGAGGGGCAGAGAGAGAGGGAGACCCAGAATCCCAAGCAGGCTCCAGGCTCCGAGCTGCCAGCACAGGGCCCGACGCGGGGCTCGAACCCACGAGCCACGAGATCGTGAGCTGAGCCGAAGTCGGACGCTCAACTGACTGAGCCCCCCAGGCGCCCCCCAATGTGAATTCTTAACCAAAAAAGAGCAGCCTGCAAGACGTATGAATCGTGTGCAATAAAATGCGCACGGGGCGGTGTTCCGAGGGGGGCCCTTTGAAAGGCACCCCCTCGTGGTGCGGGCCGTGGCTGCTACGGAGACATCCACCTGGGGGCCTAGGCTGCACCCCTCCTGCTACTGGGAGTCACGGGGTCAGTGTCAGAGTTGAGTCCCTCTTCGATGTTGAGACCAGCTGCCAGGGGGCGGCCCCAAGACAGACGGCGCCCACACTCCCCTTGCTCCGGGCCGTCCAGCAAAGCAGTGAGGCAGCTATTCCAAGCCGTCGCCTTCACCTGGAAGCCTCCTTGCCTGTCCCAACCGGAAGTGATTTTTGTCTCTTGGTGGCCTGTGGACGGGCTGGGCTGGCCAGTTGGCCGTTCGAAACGTGGCTCAGAAACCAGACCTCCCGGCAAATCCCGACACGGTACTCATTGTTGTG